GCACTATACATCTAATCTAGCCCCACACAGAGACTAGAAATTCTGGATTCCTCTGGAGTCTTGTCAATCCTGCATGAAGCTTCATCCATTTAATCTCATCAGCAACAACCTTTTCAATAAGCACACAGGTTCGATTTCAGAATCCAACAGGTGACTGAGGTTCAAGAATTCCACAGCTGATTCCTGAGGAGATCAGGTGGACTGTTTGCTACTCTTCTGGCAGGAAGGTCTGCTGGTATTTACAGCTCAGTGAACAGTAAGGAGGGAGAGAGCACCATCCATCAGCAAAGGAGAACTCATCTGCTACTTGATCTGACATTCTGTTTACGCTCACACTGTCTCCAGAGAGCAAGGTGCATCCATTTGAATAAACATGGAGACAGGAGGAAGGGGAGGGGGAGCAAAGCAGCCAAAGAGATGACTGCAGAAACAAGACGTCCACAGATTGAGGAGCTCTCAGTGGAGCGCTGCCCCAACATGGGACCGTTTGGGGATGTGCAGGAAACGCCCTTTCAGACGACTGTACTTTTACTGAGTAATGGCTGCAAGTTGCTATTCACCTCCTCTCATGCCTGCCACTTAGCAGGTGCCAAACAGCGGTGTGCTGAATGAACATAGGCTTGCCCTGAACCTAAGCCAAAGACTAAACACCCTAATTACAAAGTCAGGGTCAGCTGGTAGGAGGAAACCACCAGCTTTTGGCAATCTTAAGATTGTCTTCCCTGTCTGGTAGGGTCTCCTTGGACTCCAATCCTACTGGAAGGGCTGGGGTATTTGTATGAGCAATGGTGTCTTCACCAAATCCTTAAATTTTGTTTTACCAGTGGCACTGAGCAAGCACCTTGGAAAGGAACACACATCCAAAGTGCTCCACTTTACTGTGTTCACTTATATAAAGCCTACCAGCTAGCAAGCCATGCCTCAATTGCCACCTTTGGACTCTCTAGCTCCCTAAAAATTCACTTAATGCTCCAGAGACAACAGATAGCCTGAATATGACATCACAGAAAACTCAACATCTCAAATGAGGACAAACTGTGGTGTCCATAGCAACTCCACAGTTCATTTTACATTTTCATCAGGTAGATGGTCCAAGTAGTTGTCCCTATTTGCTCAGAATGGGAAGTCACTTAAAGTGATTCTGTTGATTCCATATATAATGCCTTAAGAGATTTCTTTGAGAGGGTTTTGGTGATTAAATAAAATTAACACTTGCTGTTAAAATTTTGATTAATTGGAATAAAAGAGTCCCCTGATTGACTGCAAAAATGATGAGGCTGTATCACAGGTGAGGTCAGGAGCTCCTAACAAGCAAAATTATTTAAAATGTCACACATACAAAGTCACTGATTACTCATGGTATGTGTAAAATTATATTTTGCCTTCTCAATGATCATTGTTTATTTCTCAGTATGGAAATGTTCTGGATTGTCTGACACAGAGCTCCCAAACACTAGTGCACAATCACATACACAAAGGAAAAAAACCCTAGCAAGCTATTTTCAAATGAAAATTTTAATGAAGTATTAATAATCATGCTTTTCAAATGACAGTCTAACATGTAGCCTCTCTTAATGGATGCAAGTTTCCCACTGCAACATGTATCAAGCAAAAGAATGTCAAAGGTCAGTTTCCCTGCAATGTTCCTAGGCTGGTATGGGTGTTAACACTTTGTTCTAAGCAGCATCTGCCAGCCAGGACTTTGTAATATAATTTCAGTTACTACAGGCATATATGGAAGCCCCGTCCGTCTTCTAATCAGCATGCCATAACGTGGATAAGAATGTACGCTGAATGGAGTGGCTCTTTGCTCTTCTAGAAATGCTGATTAAAAAGGATCTGGAGATGTCTCAATATCAATATTCTTCCTCTCAATGCAACAGGCTGAGCTATTAAACCCCAGTCCCCATTAGGAAGTCATCGAGTTCTCACAGGGCATCACTCACAGAGAACGCTCTAATTTCATCTGCCTGGGTGAAATAAAAGAGCATCCTGATTAACTCCTAAGTATGGTCTGATAGGTTGTTAACCAATTGTACTGGCCAGGCAAGTCCAAAATTGCGTTCTGTAAATGCCACCTAGATCTTCAGGGCCAGCCCCACCCATAGTACAGTTCTCCTGATTCAAGTGACTCTCACCCAAGTGGCAATCTGGAAAATCACCTCTTCAAGGGAAGGCTCAAAAGAATTTGTCACTAGGATACAGTGACACCAATCCCACATTTTGTGGTTAATAAAACAAGTCCTGCATCCAGCTTGGCACAAGGCCCTGATCTGATTTATTTCAAGCCAAGCTGGAGGGCTCACAGGAAAAGCTGCCATTCATGAATGCTTCAGGAGGACAGGACACTAGGGTCCCTTGTGGTAAAATTTACATGGGCCAGAAATCTTTCTGACTCACCTTTTGAGCAAACTTAACTCATTTCCTAAAAAGAACTGGTGTATTTTTAAAAATACACTAACAGGTTTACCTACAAAATCTCAATTTTGCCTGTTATTTTTCTCCAAAAAGGCGTCCTGTCAGGTGATAAAGGGAGGAGTGCTGGGAAAAGAGAGAAAGTGCCAGGACGTCTGATTTAACCATCTGATATATCTAACGCTTGATTTTCCCCCGCTCCCTCCTCTGTGTAACCAAATATGAGATGCAGAAGACTTTCCCGGAGAAGTCTAAATACAGCCTTCATTTAAGATTTTCTGCCCCAGTACATAATTAGGAAATTTCATTCTAAAATGGCACGCCTAACTCCTTGGAGAGCGTGCCTCCGTTTGAATAAAAAAGGCGAGATATCCTTCAGGGTACTCAGTATATATTTTTAAACTTCTTATTAAATCAACCTAAGTTATGGAGCTTGTTCAGGAAAAGCAGGTAAGGAGGTGCTTTGGCAGATGCAAAGTTAATTTCCAGACTCTAGCATACACCCCGCTTCCATCCCCGCTTCCCTCAACCGAGCGTTTCCGAATGCCTTCGGCCTCCTTCGAAGAGACTCGGCTCTCTCCGCCGAGGTCCCGGCTCGGCTCCGAACACTGCCGAGTCCCTCCGAGCCTCGCGCCCAGCCTGCGCCGATCCGAGCCGAGCGCCACCAAGCTGAGCCTCCTCGACTTTTCCAGCCTCAGCTGGGCGCTGTCCACCACTCGCAGCGCCTGAAACCTCACCCAGCTCCGGTGGCTGGGGCTTCTACTGGGCTGCAAGCCTGCCACTGCAGATTATAGAGTTCTGAAGTTTTGAAACGTCCCCTTTAGGGAGAAACGGGTGGTGCTGCTTGCACTTACCGACCTGCAAGGGCTCCAGGCAGATGCAACATACACCTTGTTGCAACGAGCAATTCCCCAGGCCCCGCCTTCCCATCCATTTGGGTTGCACAAGCTTCAAAGAAGCCCCAGGCCAAATTACCCGTGGATAATTTGGGTGCGGCAAGCCGAGGGGCCTCTGCACAGAAAGCCCCAGGGAGCTCTCGAACAAAAATAAGAACACGTCAAGCAGACGGGAGAAATTGTCTCCGAGTCGCTACTCCCTACCATCATGGCGCCGCCTAGAACCCGCTTGTCATGCCTGTTACACATGCAAGATTTTTTGCATCTTGGTTCTGAACCCGCAAGCATGCTTCGTCTCCCACCCACCTTTCTGCGAAAGCGGTTTTTCCTTTCCATTGTTTTCCTACGGGATGCAATAACTTCGGCTATTCTGTCAAGTTGAAAAATAATCATTTTTGTTTACTGCACAGCAACCCCTAATTAGGAGCTGTGTGTGCACGAAGGTGTCACAGCAAAGCGACGTGGAATCCTCGCTAAAAGGTCTTAACGAACTCCTCCGTCCCGAACCGAGAGGCCAACGGAAGCAGCGGGGCTAGGAGGCCCAAGGGCGCGCACCCCTTTCCTAAGGTCACCCCCTCCCCAAGCAAAGCTGCCTGTGGGCTCACCAGGAACTGCTAACCAGGAGTGGATGGGGCAAGAAGCAAGCCTGGGAGTAGGAAGGAGGGGCAAGGCTCCTTACTGAGAAAGTGTGGAAGGGAAGGAATATCCCATTTTGTTTTAATTTTCAACCATCACTCAAATCCACCCCCAGTTAATTAAGAGGGGAAACTGATACCTAAGGAAGAGGGGGTGGTGCAGCAAGTGGGGCCTGAAATCCGCATTGTGGGTAGATTACATGGAACACAGCCTATGCAGAGTGTAAATAAATACATTGATAAAGGCTATAGAGTGAACGAAAACTGCCAGTGTCAGGAGAGCAAAGGCTGGGAGGATGGGGGAGAAAGGCGGGGGAGCAGCAAGGGGCGGGCATTCAGCCTCCCAGCCAGCGTCCTCCTTCTACCTCTACCTTGGATACACCTGTGCCAGCCACATTCGCTTGAACACCCACCCACTCCCCTACCACACGCCCCTTCCCCTAACCTCCGTCCTTTGGGGGTGGGGAAGAGGGGCAGAAACCACAGCCTCTAATTCAGCACCAAACCCACGAACAGCATACACTTGATACTCCACCCCAGCCTACGGCTGGGTCCCCTCCATGTTTTAGCCAAGTTCAAAAATCACTGCCCCAGGAGAAGAGTAGGGGGAAGTGGGATTATGGATGTGGAGTAGGGGGTGGAGGAAGGAGAAGAGAGAAATAGAGACAGAATGATACAGAGACACAGAGCTAGAAATAGACGCAGCGACACACAGGAAACACCACACAATCAAGAGTAATGATCATAATCATGCCAATAATGTGATGTTCTGATCAATATGGCGGACACTGTCATTCATACAACTACAGGCGCTCCCCTTCCCTCCACCACAGCCCGGAGAAAAAAAACACCCACCCTGGGAGTTGGGGTGGAGGGCCCAGAACCAACGTAGGGCCTGGGGGAGGGGAGTCAAATTCAGGTGTGTGTATGCGTGTGCGTGTGTGCACGAATTAAAAACCGGGCCTGGAGAGCAATGTGAAGTGAGCAAGGTAATAAAAATTATTAAAAAATTATACTTAATAAAAGTACAAATCCCAATGCCACAGGGACTTACTTCATCTGCTTCACAATGGTGCTTTTTCCAGATTCTCCAGCCCCTGTTGGGACAGACAGGGGGGAAAATTTGATGAGTGTCAGCTTAGGGGACCGGGGTGGGGGGTTGGGGGGTAAGGCATGCGAGGGAGTGGGCGATCCTGGGCACATGGTGATGCCAACTCGGGGACCAGGTCTCCCCAGGAGCGAGTGGAGGGGGGACCGGTGGGGGGGTGCAGAGCGGCCGGGGTCAGGGGATGGGGGTGGCAGTCCCGGTCCTTACCCAGCAGGAGTAATTTCACGTCTTTGGCTGCGCTGATGCCATCCTCTTTGAGGTTTTTCTCAATCGCCTTGCTCCGCTCGAGGGCGGCTCGCTCCTCTGCGCTCAGAGTACATCCCATGGTGGCCCCTTCCCTGCCACAGCCCGCACGACTCGGCTGGCACGGCTCCCCGGCTCGGCGCGCCCCCCACCCCCCCAGAAAGCAGAGCCTGGGCTCAAAGGGGAAAAAATCACGATAGCCTCCCCTTGGCTGAAAACAAAAATGTCGGGAAACCAGAATCCCCAAAAAAGACAGCCTCTAACAAGATTACAGCCGCGGAGACTCGCGGCAGCTGGCGGGGCTCTGGGGGTGTCGAGGCGAGGGTGGCCGGGGTCTGGGGTTCCGGAGCCGAGGGAGGAGGCGCCCGCGGTCCGAGGAGGCGCGAGCTGCAGGCACTGAGGCTTGTGCACTACCCAAAATAAATAAAATAATAGTCTAGGCAGGAATCGCAGCCGGAGCCGGCGGAGGGTGGGGTGGGGGGCAGGGGGGGTCCTTCTGCCGCTGCTGCCGGAGGAGGAGGCGGCGCGGGGTGTGGAGGGAGTGAGTTAGGGGGTGCTGCTAGTGTATTTGCATCGCTATTCCTCAGCCGTCGGTGCGTCCGCGGCGCCTTCGCCGACGCCCGCGCGCTGGGCAGGGCTGGGCAAGGGGCCGGGCCGGGGGTCAGGTCTCTAGCGGGAGACGGCGTCGCTGTTTCCCAGAGCTAGCATCGCTCGGTGGAGCCTACCGAAGAGAAAGGGAGAGCGCGACAGAGCCGCGGGCAGCCGGGAGCTCGAGGGGGAGCGAGAGAGGAGAGAGGCTGAGAGGGAGGGGAGAAAAAAAATGAAGGGAGAGCGAGCGAGCGAGCGCGCGCGCTCCACAGACCGGGCGGGGGAGGGGGCGAGCGCAGCGCGCGAGTGCGCCAGCTGCTCTACGCACTCCGCACGGCCAGCCGCCCGCTGACGTCAGCAGGGCCGCGCGCCGGGCCCCCGAGACGGGGAGGGGCGGGGGGCGGGGGAGGCGCGCGCGCCGAGGTCCGCGTAACTAGCGGGGGCGCGCGCGTGGCGCGGCCTCCCCTCCCCCACCCTCCCCCCCCTCCCCTCAGGGCCCGCGGCTCCCCGAGGGGGGCTCGTGCGAGGCCTAGCGGGGGCGGGGCCTGGGGCCGGGCTCGAGCCTGGGCGCTCCTACCCGACTCCGCCCTCGCCCAGTGCTCTGGCGACTTGGGCCTGGTCAACGCGAGCTCGGGGCTGGGTAACCCGCGCCACCGTCAGGTGGGTCCACTGGGTCGCGGCCGGCGCCGCCTCCCTCGCTCTCCTGCCTCCTCTCCATGTTGGCTCCAACAGCGCGCCTTCTTGGTTGCTCTCCGGCTGCTAGGGCCGTAGCAGCCGAGGTCAAGTGGCCTCGGTTAACTCGAGGAGACCGTGGTTCTGAGGGAACCTGCGTTCCCAATCATTCGCCCTTGGGGCGTAGGGGCAGATTCGGATTTTTCGCTTCCTGCGTCCCACAAACATTTATTGAGCACCTAGTATGTGAGAGAGGAGGCTGTGAGGAGAGGAACACAGCAGGATGAGACAAAGCCAGGGCCTGTTCTCAAGGAGCTTCTGCCTCCCTTTGCCATCGCGGACCCTGCTCCAAGATTGCCGGCCAAAAGGGCAACGCAGGAGACAGTTCCCACACTGGGCAGCTTTTGGATGGGAGGGGCAGGTTTTCATGCAAGTGATGCTTACTTTCCTAACACAGAGCTTAAATGCTTTTTGCTCATTTTGAAAGGTTTAGTTCGGTTGAGATTTTTGCACTGAGCCCTCTTGTCCTGCCTCTTCCCAAAACACAAATACATTAAATGAATAGATTTTGAGAGAAGAAAGCTTCTTCCTCTAAATCTTTTAAAACACTCCCCCGCCCCATCTCTTTTTAAAATAAAGACCCAGCAACCCTGGGTCAGTTACTCAGCGTACAGCTCATCAAATACTGAGGAAACACATACACTTCTGCCAAAGATCGGGCATGTTCTAGGCGGTCTCTGAGATTTTGAAGAAATTAGTTCTCCCTGCACAAAATGGTTTTACAATCAGTTCCATCAGACAGCCTCAGAGGCCCTCCTAGAAAAAGGGGCCAATAGGAAAGATTGCATGAGGATAGGAAAGGCAACCGGCCAGTGGAAAACGTTTTTTCTAATAGTTGGGCATTTTTGTGGCTCTGAAGGCAAACTTGTTTGTTTCATTTCAACAATAGAAAAAACACCCCTGTTTTTGGTAATGTTACCCAGCATAAAAATACATTTGCAATGGGGGGGGAGGCAATTAAAGCCCATGCAGAAGAAAACATTTTTTTTCCCCTGAATTTTTCAATTTGTTGTTTCCTAGTTTGGGTTTGCCTCATTCCACAAATAGCTGTCTATGTCAAAAGTTGTATGTAATGTAATTTGAATATTTAAACTTAGATCACATTTAAATATTGTAGAAAACTGACAAAGGACTCATAAAGAATTGTTTTATAAAGTAAATAACTTCTTCCCCACTTGCCCCTCCACCCCTACCCAGTCTCCTTTTGTGTGTGTATTGAGGAGGGGAGCTTAGGGGATGAATCTGGTTTGCTTAAAATCTGGCTGTCACTAAAAATCAGCCTCCCAGATCCAAAACAGAGCTTAGGTAACCAATATTCTATAGAATTTGTTATTTCTTTTAAAGGTTGCTAGGATGATTATGCAGATCTCTCAGATATAGGGAAAAAATTCAGCCACCTCACCCAGATTCTGCAATCCCTACGAGGCTGCATCTGAAATATTGAAGAGGTAAGACCATAACCATTTCTTTGTAAATGGTGGGTCATATTTTACATTTTAGTGCTCTTTCATATGAAGTAATTTTTAATTGAAGATCTTAGACTCTTGGGGCATTGTGGTTTACATGGTTGAATCAAACTATCTTTGATTTTGGGTATATTTATTCCTTCTTGGTATCATACCTAGTATGGTGGAGGCACAAACCTATGTTTTGTGTTTTTCTTTACTCAGTACTTACTAAGCACCTACCAGCCATGAACAGGGTAATGTCCTAGGCACTATACGTGCTGTATTTCAGGTTTGTCTACCCTGTTTTCTTTTTCTGGGTCACTTTGCATCTTTATAGCTCGGCTTCATAAAAGACTAATAATAATCCGCTTCACCTGTAGAGTGCTTTACAGCTTACAGAGCACTTTTATGAAAATTATCTCTAGTGATCCTCCCACATAAACCTCAGCTAGGGATTGTGGTGTGAGGAGCATCATGGCTAAGTGGAAAGAGCCTGGGCCCATATCAACCTGGGTACCCATTTTACAGCTGAGAAAACTGAGCCTCTGAGGGGCTGAATAAATTGTTCAAGGTCATGCAGTCATTTAGTACTAATGCAGGGCTCCTTTTACAGGTTTGTGGACTATTTGAGAGATAACATGTAATACGTATTTATTTTATATTTAAATATATATATGTCTATATATATATATATATATATATATATATATATATATATATATATATATATATATCATACTTCCTAGCCTCACAGAAAGCTTACAACTCCAGAAACCAATCATATTCTGGTCCCCCCCACCAAAAGAAGTAAGGATAACATCTCAGTTCTCTGTGAGTTATTAGTAATTAGATAATACCACAAGTGTTTAATTTTTCCATAGTTAATTCCTGTGGGAATGAGGAAATTATAGGAGTTATCAGGGACAGATTCAATTTGGTTTTATTTTAT